CGTGGTCAACAATCTCGTAACTTAAGCTCGCGTCTGCCCCATTCAGGGTGCAGAGCTGTCAGCCCAGGCTCGCTCCACAGCAGGGACCATGCCCAGGAGTAGAAAGAACCAGAGTCTCATCCAGCCGTCAGGGCTCCCCTCCATAAGGAAGGACCGAACGACTTCAACACCCCTCCCTGACGCTCAAGCTCAGGCGCCATCTGCTGGTCAAGATCGGCACTGCGCTTGGGCCCGCCGCCCCCAGGGCAGTCAGGAGACCAACGGTGAGACCAACCTCAAACCACTCCAGATCCAAGTCACTTTGCAGGCAGCAGCAATGACCCTACCTCCTAGAGCTCTGACTGCTGACTGCTCAAGCTGTCGTGCAAGACGTAAGCGTAACATTCAAAACGAAAGGAAAAAAGTAAGCTTCCTTCTGGTAATGATAGAAACTCCTAAGGCACAGACTCATAGAAAAGTGATTCCTACAGGGTTTCTGCCGAACAGAAGTTCTGCTACATAGGAGACAAAGCGCTGGCCAGAAGCTAAGATGATCTGAGGTCTAACCCCATCCCTCACATGCCCTTCCCTTAGCTACGTGGTCCCCCCAACTAGCAGCACCCCACCTCCTGAAAGAGGCCAGTCCCTATGCAGGGAATGGGATCCCTTCACCTGCCCTTGCCTCGACACTGTGGGCTGTCCAGGGATGTGAACTGATCTGACACCAGATGTACATCACAGAGTCCAGAAGAGCTGCAGCCTCGTCCTCACACCCCACGCTGGGGACGCCCCCTCTGGGCCAGCTCTATCCTCCGGGGACAGGGATCAGTCTGAGCGCGCTAAGGGCTCTGCTCATGAGGCAGACACGGAGCCAGTCAGGGCAGGCTGGGGCACACCAGCCTCCAGCCCCTCTCTGATCACCCCTCTCCTCCTCTCGGTGTGAGATTTAGGGGCAGCCACAGACCGATCTTTGGGGGCTTCTCCGGTGGCTCAGTGGTAAAGAATCCACCTGCCTATGCAGGAGACACGGGTTCCACCCCTGCGTCGGGAAGGTCCCCCTGGAAAAGGAAAGGGCAACCCACTTAAATAGTCTTGCCTGGAAAATTCCACAGACAGAGGAGCCTGGGGGGCTACAGTCCATGGGGCTGCAAAGAGCGACCAAGCAACTGAACACGTGTGCAGTCTTTGCGCTCCAGGTGACCTCAGGGTCCACCCGAGGACTCGGACCTACAAAGAAGACAGTGACGCATGGAGACCCGGCTTCCTTTAATCACTGCTGGAACCAGGGAGGAAATGGAGGGTCCTGGGGCGGGCGTGACACTCAGGATTAGAGGAGCCGGCTCAAATGTCTTCCTGGGGCGGGGGAGGGCTGCTCCCCAGGAAGCATTAGGGGAGGGGCTGGGGGACGAGGGAAGGGCAGAGTGAGTGACTTTCCCCGCCCTGACTCCCCCACACCCACCGACTCTGCTTCCCACGCGGCCCCAGGCTGAGAAAGCGTGTCACTGGGAACAAATGCCATCTCCCCGGGAGGGAGGGGGAGGAAGGGGTGAGGGAAGACTTTGACTGCGTGTCTGTGGGGGCTGGGGTAAGAACCTAGAGGTTTCTGAGCTTCCCAGTTGGGAGGGACACCCCCTCCGAGCCATGACCTTGACGTTAGTCTCCATCTCTCAGCGGGCTCGAGACCAGCTGTGGGGCAGGAGACACAGGCTGCCACTCTCAGGACAGCTTGGCTGGGGGCTTGCCTAGAGAAGGGGCCCTGAAGATGCAGGCAGCGTCTCCCAACCCCAGACACCCTGCGGCCAGCTGGGCGGGCAGGCGCACCATGACTGCTGACACCCCGAGCTTCCCATCTCGCTCCACCCTGGCCTGGAGGAAAGCCACTGCCCTGCTCTCACCTCCCCCTCCAGCTACAAGGGTTAAGCTGCTGCCTTCTCCGCCTGCCTCCGCCCCCACTGGGCAGCCACAGTGCCCAGCAATGGTGCACTTCACACTGCTATTACAGTGACTTATTCAGTGTTCATTTGGGGGTGCACCTCAATGCTGGAGGAAGCAGGACGCCAACCGTCTTGGCAAGAAGCACATGAAGGCAAGCACATGGCAAGGCACGTGAAGGCTGAGCCACGCTACTGCCGTCCCCTCGGCCTGCGGCCCCTCCGTCCTCACCCCGCTCTTCCCAGCCTGTGGCCTGCTCCTGACTCAGCCCTAAATCAAGTTTACTCTTCACGCGATCTTCCACCCCACTCCCCATCCCCTTGGAGGAGATGTTCCTCCATAGGAAGGGAGTTCACAGAGGTGTCTTTGCTCAGAACCATGCTACCAAATAAATTCTCACGCTGCTGAGAAAGTTCTAGGACCCACAGCAGATTTCCCAACCTGGGGATCTAGCAAAAGGGACTGAGAACCCCCAGGGAATTTGCCTTTGGAGGCCAGTGGGATTCAATTACAGAACTTACACAGGACTGGGGAGACAGACTCTTGGAGGGGACAAACAAAACCTTGTGGGCACCAGGACCCAGGAGAAAGGAGCCCTCCTGTGTGATCCAGTCCCCGCCCCCTCCCCCAAAGAGTCAGATAATGAGGCCAGGCCAGGCCAGGCTGTCACTGAGGAGTGGGACATCTCCGGAGGGATGCCAGGCACGTGATACCAGCGCTACATTAAGGGACCGACAGTCAGGGCCAGCTGCATGCAGATCAGCAGAAACGGAACAACTGGGCTTTATGAACCTCTGCCCCAACTCTCCGCCTGGCCCGCAGGGGCCTAAGCAAACTGCCACTTATCAGTCATTGGTTCAATAAACAAACACCGGTGTCCCCGATACACCATGTACTATTCTGGAACTGCAGACAGGAGTAAAAGGACCACCATGGTGTTCATCCCCCGACTTCACAGTTTGTGGTGAAACCACCTAGACACAACGAATCAACCCATGAGAAGCACAAGCAGAGGGAGGAAAGGTGTGCAGAGGGTCAGCGAAGACTTCGCAGGAGAGCTGGGATTTGGCAGGACCCCCAAAACTGAGCACAGTGCCCGGCGTTTGGTAGACAGACAGACAGACAGGCCAGTGGCCTAGGAACACAAGGAATGACTGACAGGGAGAGGGTGGGGTAAGGGGGTTCCAGGCAGACAAAGACCATGGCAAGTTGAAAGTGGACAGGGTGGACCTTGAAAGCCCAGCTAAAGATTTTATTTGGGGAAATTGGGAAGTATCAGAGGAAATAAAATAATTTCAGGAAAGACATCGGCTGATCTAGCCTTGACATTTAAGATTATTTTGCTCAGAAAAATCCTAGAAGATCCAAAGGATTCTCTCTGTAAGAGGAGAATTGCAGGGACTTCCCTGGTGAGCCAGGGGTTAAAACTCCATACTTCTAATGCAGAGGGTGTGGGTTGGATCCCTGGTCAGGGAACTAAGATCCCATATGCTCTGCTTCATAGAAAAAAAAAATTTTTTAATTAAAAAATTAATTACTCCTTGGAAAGAAAGTTATGACCAACTTAGACAGCATATTAAAAAGCAGAGACATTACTTTGCCAACAAAGGTCCGTCTAGTCAAGGCTATGGTTTTTCCAGTACTCATGTATGGATGTGAGAGTTGGACTATAAAGAAAGCTAAGCGCTGAAGAATTGATGGTTTTGAATTGTGGTATTGGAGAAGACTCATGAGAGTCCCTTGGACTGCAAGGAGATTCAACCTGTCCCTCCTAAAGGAGATCTGTCCTGGGTGTTCACTGGAAGGACTCATGTTGAAGCTGAAACTCCAATACTTTGGCCACCTGATGGGAAGAGCTGACTCATTTGAAAAAGACCCTGATGCTGGGAAAGATTGAAGGCAGGAGGAGAAGGGGACGACAGAGGATGAGATGGTTGGATGGCATCACCGACTCGATGGACATGGGTTTGGGTGAACTCCAGGAGTTGATGATGGACAGGGAGGCCTGGTGTGCTGCAGTTCATGGGGTCGCAAAGAGTTGGATGCGACTGAGCAACTGAACTGAACTGAATTAAAAAAGGGAAAAAAGAAATAAAAATAATTTTTTTTTTAAAGGAGACTTTCAGTTTAGTAATAGGTGAAGGGAGAAAAGCTTTACTGAATAGAAAAAAGCTTTACCTTTTCTCTTAGGTACCATGAGATTCTAGCACATAGCTTGTAAGGCAGGGCCTGCTCTGTAGAGCCCTGCAGATGGCTGCTCCAACCCCTCCCCCTCCCCAGAATCACGATGAGTGGATCAGGCCAACGAGGGTCCACACCACTGGGCCCACACATCCCGCAGGTCACTGGCGTGAGTCCAAAGTAATGTGACCGGGGCTACGTACAGAACGGCCCTCAGCCCCTATGTCTGTGGCTCCAGGGGTGGAATGAAGATCAGGGAATTTTGAGGAGGCAGGCATCAGCCCTTAGGAGGAAGCACTTATTACAGTTAGAGATGACTGATAATAGAACAGACCATGTCAGGCAGCCTGTAAGAGAATAAGCTTCCTGTCACTGGAGGTAATCAAGCAGAGGCCCAGAGATGTCCCGGAAGTCACTGCATTGAATGATTAGGATGGCTCACTGATAGAGCAGGGCGCTGGAATCATGTACTAACAGTCCCCTTGGACGCTTTACCTGATCACTCTAAGCCTCCATCCCTCATCCACAAAACAGGCTCATTGACAGTACGTGTCTCATAGGTTTGCCATAAGGACTAAGTGAAATAACGTGTAGGAAACCACAGAGCTGTGAGCACACAGCAAACTCTCAATAACTGACCGCAATTATTAGATTGAAGCATATGAATCGCACTAGGTTACAGGTTGAAAACAGCCTAAACACATCAACTATTGCATATGGTGCAAGTAATGCTTTTTACTGAGGGCCACTCAGGTTCCTTCTAACCTCCCTGATTCCTCACTGAAAGTTTCTGTGGTCCCCACCTCTGCTGGATCCCCTGGGCCTGGGCCCAACCTGAGAACTCTGCAGGGTCTTTCTAGAAACACACTGCACAGGAGGGACCGGTCCCTCCGGGCGGAGGCAGGTACCTCTCTGCCCAGGTCCTCGCGGATGACCTGGCGCACTTCCTTCATGCTGCTCTGCGGGGCCTGGCTGTGCAGCACCTTCAGCGTGCTGGTGTACTCTTCCGGCAGCAGGTAGTCCAGAGCCCCCAGGTGCTGGCCCACCTTGATGAACGTGCCCCGGTTGGCACAGCAGAGCTCGCAGAGGCGCCTGGCAGAGCGGAGGTGTACCTGCAGGGAGACAGCCGGGGCCAGAGAGACGTGAGTGCTCATTGCCCACTGGGCGCTCTTCTCTTCTCCTGCCCACTCTGCTTGGACACCCTGATTCACTCCCCCAGTGCACACGCACGTCTACATGTGCATACACACACACACCCCATCATTCACCTCCAGTCTCCTGGTATACACACACACACACCCCCATCATTCACTTTCAGTCTCCTGCTATACACACACACACACCCTCATTCACCTTCAGTCTTCTGGTACATATGCACACATATACATACACACACACCCCATCATTCACCTTCAGTCTCCTGGTATACACACACACACACACACACACACACATACCCCATCATTCACCTTCAGTTTTCTGGTACACATGCACACATATACACACACACACCCCATCATTCACCTTCAGTCTTCTGGTACACATGCACACATACACACACACACACCCCATCATTCACCTTCAGTCTCCTGGTAGCCAGACCAGTCAATCCCAGCCTCTAGCTGCAGCCAGCCTCCTGACATGGCCCAACGCTTCTGATTCCTTTGCTTCAAAACTTACCTTGTCTGAGTCCCACTCCCACGGAAACAAGCATGTGTAAGGTTTTCAACCAGTTCTAACCCACTTATGATTCATTCAAGGATACGCTAAGTTCATGCATTTGCCACCCACCCCTCAGCCATACTAACGGTACTGTCTGTTTGTTTGGAGGTCTACAATTTTCAAAGATGTCAAAGTCATTATTTTTTTAATCCTTCCAGCAATTTAGGGAGGCAAGTACAGGTATCTTTAAGGACAAGAAACTCAGATGTTTTGATTATAAAGAAAAAGCTAGTAAATTTCAAAGGATGGTCTAGAAAGCACTTCAGTCCTAGGGCTCCTTAACTCAGCAGACTTTAGCAGGGATCTCCTGTTAACTGGAAGAAAACTTCACAACGGGGCATTAGGCACATAGGGTGGGCGGCAGGGCAGGCGGGGCAAGACAGGCCAGCCTTAACTCCCAGCCTGAGGCCCACCCATCCCTCCGGAGTGAGAGGTGGCCCCCATCTGCCCCCAGGCTGCACATCCCAGTCACCACCCCAGCTCAGCTGAGGATCTTGGAATTTTGACGGTCCCACCTTCCTGGAGCTATAGGTCCTGAGCAGGATGGAGCCAGGGCCACCCACAGAAGTCAAGGGAGGCCAGGGCTCTGTGGAACCTGGTACCCTCTTCCTCTCATAAGTCAACCAGGAGAGTGAATATTTATGATGGACTTATGCTCTCAAGTGCTACAAAGGATGCTGACATAATTAAGAGCATGTTGGAGGAATAGACCAGGTGAAGAGTTAAATAACAGTAGGCAACAAAGATGGAAGGAAAGTTCAAAGAGTCTACATGATTAGCTGCCAACAGAAAACTGCTACTTTAAGAATTAAAAAGAGAATGATTCATGTCAATGTATGACAAAAACCACTACAATATTAAAAAAAAAAGAATTTAGATTCTGAAAGCAGAGGCAGTTATTTTCTTCCTCATTTCAAGTATGTTATTTTTATATATAATATTTATCTGAAGAATATATGCTTAAACAAATTCTGATTATTACATAAAGAGGCATTAATGATTGAACTTAGCCCCTAGATGCTGAGTGCTGTATTAATAAATTTTTAGACTTAATCAAAAAAAAAAAAAGAATTAAAAAGAGAATGCTGCAGCCCCAAATACCCTGGTCCCAGCAGCCAGGGAGCCCACCCACGTGCTCCCTCAATAGCAAAGTGATGCCCCAGACCCCAGGCACATGCAGGCTGTCCCTAGGCCCTGCCAATCCGCCCTTCCCTGCCACGTGCTGTGACACTGTACTGACCCTATGTCACTTCTCCTGTGTCAGAGGGTCGCTATTAGGCTTGGTCAACAGCGGGGCCTGGGCGGGGGACACACGGCAAGACCACAAGCTGCACAAGAAGGCTCCCTTGCCGTCCCCACTGGGCTGCTTCCAGCTCATCAGCCAGTGGGACAGGGGCTTGGGGGGACCCCTTTGGTGGCTCTCATGGACCAGCCCACCCTCACCACCGAGTGGGCCCCTTCTGTGGACCCACTCAGGCCCACATGCTCCAGCAAGTGTTTGACCGCCCAGCAGGCAGCTCCAAACGCTAGTTCCAGGTATTCTTCTCCTACAAATCTCTCTGCCACCGGGCAGGCTGTGACCATGGCCCATGCCTCCTTGTCTCCAGGGCAGCCTGGCACCCCAGATTTGGAGGCCCCCGGCCAAGTCTTCAGGTCTGTTCTTGCTCACCACCCCGAGCCTTAGAGGAAACAGGTGCTTTATGCATTTCCTACCTCTGTCGCCTTAGATTCTTCTTTTACAGCTTTTAGGAGTTAACTACCTTTTCCTAATTAATACATTTTTACATTTAAATTACAAATTTGGGGACATCTCTGGTGGCCCAGTGGCTGAGACTCCAAGATCCCCATGCAAGGGGCCTGGGTTTGATCCCTTGCCAGGGAACCAGATCCCATATATAGCAACTGAAAGATCCCGCATGCTGCAATTAAGACCCAGCGCAGCCAAATACATAATTATTGGGACTTCCCTGGGTGGTCCAGTGAGCGGGATTCTGCCTTCCAATGCAGAGGGACACAGGTTCAGTCCCTGGCCATGGGTCTAGATCCCACATGCTGCGTAGTGCAGCCAGTAATTAAATAAATAAAATTTTTAAATAAATAAATATTTTTTAAATAAGATAAATCACAGGTATGACTAGTCCCTGGCTGATACAATTCCTGCAATTGAATTTGAATAGATTAGGACTAAAAAGGAGAGCATTTCAGGTCAAGAGCACAACACAACATGCATCTGTGTGTGTGTGTGTGAGACCTGCTCCACCATTTTCTTTAGACTAGATCCACATCTGCATTTCTCTCGGCCACTGGAAGAACTCAGGAAGCATCAGCCTCACGCCTACAAGGCCTCCTAGCAGGGGGCAGAGCCAGGGCCCTGCTGCCTCCCTCCTGTGCCCTGAGCCAGTCCCAGGCAGGGTGTCTCCTGGCACAGAGCAAAGGTCACCTTCACACTGTCTGGGCAATGCAGGGAGCCCTCTCTGGCCACACAACCCAGGACAGCTAGTCTACCTCCGACTCGCTGGTTACCTGGCGCGCCAGCCACTGGGACCAGAGGCCACGTGTGTCCCCTGTAGCCTCTGTGTACCCAGGGCAAGCCACGCCTGAGCCATAAATGCAGACTGATGACAACCATGGGTCATACACACACACAACCATCGTCCATGAAACTGAATCAGCATCTCCTGCAAAGGACACCCACATTTCAACCAGCGTCTTAAATAAACACACACACAGTCATATGGGGGTGAGGGACATTCCACTCACCAAAAAATGTAAATGCTCCTTGAAGGTCAAAAGATACAAATGCAGAATAACACAGCAGGCATTCTGATCTCCAGGGTCCCTTTCCAGCTCCAGCTCCTACAGTTCCACTGTCCCTTAGGATCAGAAGGCAGGTCTCATTCAGAATTTCAAGAAACTGCTGGCTAAGTGCAAAGTCCCTCTTTGAGCATTCACCGCCTGCTTGCTGGTGACTTGGGACCGAGGACCACCCTTCTCCTGCTCACTGAGCATCTTTGCTTCTGGGATCTGTAGTAATAAATCTTGGGACTCTATTTCCTCCGTGCGGATGTGTGTAAACTGCACCTTCAATCAAAACACCCCAGTGAGTTTCACTTCCCCAGTGGGAGCGTGGATGCCAAGAGAGCTGTCTACAGACCCCGTGTGGGTGGCCTGTGCCCCCGACTCAGCAGGTCATAATCTGCACATTCTTAATTGACTACACCAGCTCTGGCTTCTCAACACACACTACTGCCCTGAACACTGCACACCCATTTGCTCACTGGCCCCGAGGCCTGCTCTTACCCAGCACCTGGTTTCATGAGCTGGTTAGGTGTGTGTCGCTGCAGCGTGTCCTCACTGCAGAGTGTCCTCACCGCAGAGTTCTCACACTCCCGGTTCCATTCCTGCCAAAACAGGGCAGGAACAGCGGGCACCATCTCTCTGCCCCTCTCCAACTTCATTTTCACTCCCAGCTCAGTAACTTGCCTTATGATGATCTCACTACCAATAACCTTGTTGTAATGAGCTTTACTCTGCCTCATATTAATTAAAATCATTGTCATTAGCCAGCTTGGGTTGGGATTTGGGGGGAAGGGGGAGTGGGCAGTATGAATAGTTAATAAGATCAACACAGTACTGGTTAATTATTGATTGGGAGGGATGGAGCAAAGGCCCAAGGAGGGCAATCCTTTACTCATGCCTAAATCCCTACTCATGCCAGCCTGAATCAGTAGGGCTCCCCCATCAGAAGTGAGCAATTGGCAGTACCTCCAATGGGGTTTCGGGTTTGAGTGTGAGACACAGATGAAAGAGACAGACCCACAAACAACCCCAGACATCACAGGAAGAGACAGCACAAGAGAAGGTCACAGAGACCCCAAAGCACACAAGCCCCTTGACAGATTCTTCCAGTCAAAGACTCAGCACCCAAAGGTAACGCACTGACATGCAAACAGTGTTATCTCTGGGCAGTAAGATTACAAGAGTACTTTTCTTTATAGGTCTCTCTGTATTTCTCAAATTTCCTAAAACTTATATTTATCATTTCAGTAACAGAGGAGAATTTTTTTTTAAATAATCTCTTCTTCAACATCTTCTGGAAATAGAAGTCCAGCCCCAAATTCTCTACCACACAGACTGGACCAGCTTGGTGCAGAATCCAGCACAATTTCCCCAATTTTGCAGGGTGCTATGATCCACATGTGTGTTTTTCATCATGAAAATGGAATTGCAACTCCCCCTTTATCCCCAAGAAATCAAGCCAGGACAGTCTCCAAAGTCTCTTTTCTGGATGTCACGCTTTGCTTTAAGCTTTTACTTAATCAGCAAAGTAAAATTCATCATGTGTGGGAGGGGGGAAGGGAAACAAGTTGCAGTTTGTAAGTTTTGAAGG